CATTTTAAAAAATTGGCTCGTTACTGTAGTCTTGAATCATTTCAATGGAGTTACGGTTATTATTTTTAACGTCATCAATACCAAATTCAATCTAATTGGATGGGAATCTACGTTGCATTTGACGCACCACTACAAGATGAATCGACAGATTCGGCGGTATTCATTCGCGGCAAATCATTGCAGCTTGGTGGCGGTGGCGTTAGCATAGTAGCATGGACAACGAGATGATGGAAAATGAACACAACGGAGATCTAGTCCTATTGGCAGACATCCATTTAAAATGTAGGCAATGGCATGAAAAAAGAGGTTTCTACTTTTACGTTTATACTTTAAGTAACTTTACAAGTCTGTACTTTGGTAAAAGTGGAAGTACTGATTAAACTTCTTTACTCAAGTAAAAGTAACAGAGTATTTTTTAACACAAGTATCTGTACTTTTACTCAAGTACGGAAAGTGAGTACTTTTACCATCTCTGATAAAATCCATGTTATGAAGGAAATTACGCTACAACCTTATAGATGCATCATTGCTGAACTACTGAGGTGTCAGTCTGCGGATCCAAACATTTTAGTTTTAGTCATTATAGGTCAAATAGAAATGCTTTTAAAAGATTTTTTTTTTTTTAAACACACAAAAAGCCTCCTTAACCCCTGAAAAAACACTTTAACAAAATCTAAAGAAAATACATGTTATATTTTCTATTGTTATGTTTTACTGTTAGTACTAATAAAAAATTAATGTCTTAAAATATTTTGTACATCTGATTCAGATAAGAACTCAAGAAGAACCAAAAACCTCATTGACGCCTTCTTTATAGCAGCCAGTTTTATTATAAGGTATTTCCATCCTCATAGAAAGACATTGTATCTTTGTCTGTGATTAGTTGCCCTCTCTGAATATTTAATAAATGGGTTAAAATATCTTGAAAAGCTGGGAAACTAATTTTCATTTCCATAAGCTGGAAAGTTAGTCAAACTACTAACTGGGTTTAAGCTGCCAAACTCTGCAGCATTTACAGCAGTCTTGTCAAAAATTCTTCTGATTCTTCCGATTTTACACAGCAGCTGAAGAAACTTCATGTATTATTCAGAGTTTTTTTTCACCATCTTTAATTTATTCACAGTGGGAATTATCAGTGGAGGCTGCAGCGGGAAAATGGATTTTATTTTTCACTGTCATAGGCCAAATTGGAAATCCAGACTCTTAAGATTATATTTTTATTGCATATACAAATGGACATATACTTTAAGGGTTCTCCAACCTTTCTATTGCCTCATTAGTGCGTCAGATCATTCGCTGCTACATACTTTCCTGAAATCTGTGTCCTCACTCACTCTGAACAATTACTCCTTGAACTGTTATCAGTGTTTTTCTGCTGTAATTGGAAAGCCGAGCATGTCTTACAGTAGGTGTGTGGCTGAGCGCGTTCAAATGTCAGACACTGTGTTGTAAAACTAATTATATTTGTCTGCAGTGAAACACGCCCCGGGCTGTTGCTCTTTCTGGTCCAACATCCTGACTGTAAACCAGCAATCTACCTGGTGAACAGCATAGGTAAGGCCCAAAAAGCCATGTTTAGTTCAAAGAGTGTTCCATTTAGCTTAAGCGTAAAATATTTAGTTGATACACTGAAAAAACAATACTGCTAAAATGATAAAGCATGTAGAACCTAAACGTTCTACATGCTTTATGCTTTAAAATTAGATCTGGAGCTCATCTAAAGTTTCAGTCAGGTTAATTACAGGGTCTGTAAGTAATTAATAGCATTTAAATCAAGGTGATAAAACCCTTTTTTCTACCTAGATTATGGATTAAACAAACCTATAAGCATAGCAACACAAATACGTATTATTTTTTATACATTATTTAGGTTATTTAACCATCAGATTATTATTTTTTTCTTTTTTCTTTTTTTTTTAGAAACCCGATATTTTATTAAACTTTTATGAAACCTGTAGAAGTTTGAAATTAACTGTACATGGAAATTCTTATAATTGTGTTATAATATAATGTTAAGAGCATGAAAAAGGACTTTTCTCAGAAATTAAGTGTCCAGATTCATCTAAAATGACTTAATTGACGAATGACATTCGTGCACTTATGGTCCCCCCCGAAAAATTAAAATGTATAAACTGTGGCCATGGTGGGGCCTACAAAAGATTAGCCAATCTACTTCGCAAACATTCGCAATCAAACATTATGCGTACGTGCCCCCAATACATTATTTGCCTAGACTCTAAGCGTAAGTCATACACTGTTTGGCTAGCGGACCGCCATTACGCCAAAGCATGAAGAGGTACTCTATTTCTCTATTTGTCCACTCTTTTGTGTAAACCTGAGCATCAATGCGCAAAAAGAATCCTAACAAACCTAACTTTCTCTTCAGAGTGTAACATTTTCGATTCAACATGCAACATCTCTTCAATTAAGCCATATATACTACGGAGGTTGCCTATTCTCCTTAAGTTGGTTAATAAGACAAACACTCAATGTTGCAATACATCTCACCAGAGATTTTTTTCTGTTTCAGACATTAACTCACTTCTATTGGCTCTAAATCTCTTCATCTGGTGCAACGTTGGCTGTAATTTGTCCCTCAGCCATGAACATTGAGCTTTGTGAACAGGAGTCGCACTGAGATGTTTTGTAAGCTTGAATACTTCCAGTGGACTAACACTTGTGAAGCCGCTTGTGTATCAGATTTACATTGAAGAAGAAACGGTGAATGCAATGGTTCCCGTCTGGGATTTTAGTTTGTATATAAAAAAAAAACAGATTGACAGAAAAAAAAAAATTTTTCTGTCACAAAAAGCAACGTTTGTGTTTGCATATAAAGATGATTGCTGTCTGGAACATAGAGCACAAAAAAAGCTCTCAGTTTAAAAGTTATTTTTGATCCAGCATTATGAAACTTTTAAAATTCTGGCTTTAAAAGCACAGGTTCAGTGCCGAGGGACAAGGGCCTCACACAGTTAAATCTACCTATGACAGATTGTCAGGCAGGAAGTTAACAGCCAGGCCATTGAGGGGATCATAGTATGTGTTGCAAACATAATGTTTCTCCAGTAAGAATTTTCATTGTGATTTATATTATTTACTGTAAATACCTGAGGTCAATACACAATGTTTGAGGATTGAGTGTAAAGTGTATATGTAATTATACACCCTAAACTTCTGCTGCAGCGCCATAAGCAGCCACAGAAGCAACTAGATATTTCTAGATATTTTTTTCTGAATGCCTGAGCTAGGAACAGTTTTATTTCCACAGTCAGGTCTAAAGACTCTTGAGCAAATGCACTGACTGGAGGAGTTATGCTCTCTGTTAGAAACACAGGGGAACAAATGGTGCTGCTAAATGAGGGTGAATTTTAAATTGACTTTTTTAATTAAAAAACCAAACACATGGTAGCGGTGCAATGAAAAACCCCTTTCTCTGGAGTTATGCAGCATCCCCTTATTTAAAACAGGAAATATGCACACATTTAGCTTATATGTCAGACCAATGGGAAAATAAAACATAAAGAAAGATATTTAAAATTTGTTTATTAGCTCCTTCATACACTCTCACAGCACACATACATTATATATAGAGATGTTTTTGCATTGAGAATTTGTCATGGTTTCACAACACGTTTTTACCTCTGTGTTTTCAGTTTATATTTGAATCAATTTAATCAAAAACTCATTAGATGGTCTTTTGTGAATAGCAATACTGCACTGATCTAGTTGCCTTGGCAGGCTTGTTTGCATATGCATAAATCACAAAATATGTGTTTTATTAATCCAGTGAAAAAAACAAGAAATAGCAGACAGAAAACAGCTGAAAAAATGAAGGGGAATGCAATTATTTGCAAATTCCCCTCTCTATTGTATTACTTATATCTGCCTTGCAGGCTGCTACTTGGTCAGGTAGTCATTGAAAATGATAAAGTTTGCAACTGCTAAAAAAAACCCAGAAAAATTATATTTATAGAGTTAATATCTTGACCAAAGCACATCCTTTCAGAATTTCAAAATATACTTTTATATTAAAGTCCCCCCCACAGATAAAAACCTCCACTTAATTCTTTTAGATTCGTGTCATTTTGTCAGTACAACACCACATAAAACAGTCAGACTGGCAGACCTACCGTGTTTCTGTCCTATCTCCAGTAGAATAGGCTCCCCAAGCTCAATTGTGAAGGTCTTGTTCTTCTCATACTCTTCATCATCAATAATTTTCACCTCAATTACCTTCCTGTTAATAAGAGAGGAAAAAGACGACACTCAGTGAAGGACTATCCATAAAATAATGAGCCCCTCTGTGTCATTATAGGGAGGTGAAGAGGCAGGCAGGTGTCTGATGAGATCACAAAAAAGAAATAAGGTTCCTGATGGTTAAGAGCAACCATTGGGTTTCTTTACAAAACAAAAAGTAAAAGCTGATGTTCTTAATAAATTAAATTTATTGATGTCAAATTGGAGTAATTTAGCTCTGCACTTAACCCATCACCTTGTGAAGCAGTGGGCTGCCACTGTGGGCGTTCAGGGAGCAGTGTGGGGTTAAGGGTCTTTTGCTCAGGAATCCAGAGTGGCAGTCTGTGGTAGTGGGGCTTGAACTCAGAACCTCTGGGTTCCAAGAGCAATGCCCTATCCACTAAGCAGCCACTCCCCAGCTTATGGCCATACCACCCTGAACACACCCGATCTCGTCTGATCTTGGAAGTTAAAGAGGATCGGGCCTGGTTAGTACTTGGATGGGAGACCAGCAGGTCCACCAGGTGCTGTAAGCTTTGGACTTACCTGGTAGGGGAGGCATTATGGTCAAGCAGTTTGGTCATGTGCAGCTCTGAAGAAAAGTGGTCTGCTGTGATCGACCTGCTTGACCGTATACTCCCCTTACAGGTAAGTGTTCTTCATACTTGCCTTTAGTAAGCCACCCTGAACCTAAACCTAAGTCCTTTATCACACCTGCTCCTGATTTAGGACACCTAACCAGACTGTTCTACCTAACCCTGAGGCCACAGGGTGTCCCAGCTGGCACACTTCCATATTGAACCAGATACCTGATCCCTATACACTAAACTTAGGACCCCGACAACCCAATGCACCCCCTAGCTCAGCATATAACAATCCCAGAACAGCCTTCACCTGGAACTTGCATTTATTCAGCACATCTACTGTACAAACAAGAGAATGTTACCAAGAGATTCTTTAGGCATTTGCAAACACTATACACTCCACAAGATGGATTCCAGTTGCTGACAATAGGTGGTGATCTTCTAGTTGAGCGTGCATTCCTTTGACCTTCATTCAACTCTGTGGAAGCCATTGGGCATAAGGGGAAGGTCATTGAGTTCATTTAACCCTAACCTGTTGACAGTTCAACACTGTGAGAGAGGGTTAAATCTCCTAGGTCCTAAAATATTTTTTCTCAAGCTGAAGTACGTTGCACAGCTCAGCAGCCGCTTTTGTTTTTATTTTAATTACAGGCACCCTAGGTCTAGCAAGTCAAAAATACAGCACAAGGAACAGTGAGAAAATGCTTACAGAAATGCAGCTTTAAGAAATAACTTAGAGAAAAGAAAGCTTTGACAACAGGCAAAAAGTGGGAGATATTAGTTTGATTGCTACTGAAAGATGGATGAAATAAAAGCCCAAATGTTCAATTTAAACTAATGAATGCCATAAAATAATGTGGGTTATCTTTTCAAAATGTTAAAAAAATCCTCCCCCATAGGAAGCCCTCTTATTGATGCAGGTAGTGATTCAAAACAATAAAACTGTGAGCAAGGGTTTAACCTTTGATTATTCATTTAGTTGTTTTTTGATATTATATTTAAAGAAGCCAGAATTTATTGTAATAAAATGTTAAGCTCAGTTATAACTGTTCAGGGTTTCTGAAGGCTTTTCTGACATTTTTGGATTTGGCTGATTCTAGTTTTTTTTTTTACTTCAATTTAATTCTTTGACAGGGGCCGTGACAGCAGTTTGTGAAGTTAAACAATTGATTTACAACAACAAAAGAAGAAGTACTGTAATTTGAAATATATAACAAGATTCAACATCTTTATTGGTGACACTCAAAACTGAGTCGCAGAGTGGATGATTGGGGGAATCCTTGTTAACACGCTCACTATAAAAGCAGTTAAGATCCTTTTGTTTTATTGATCTTCAAAACATGCAATCCAGCATACAGAAGAAAAAAAAAAACGAAACCACAGGTTCAAGCCATGATCAAACGCAAAGGAGAACAAAAAAACATCCAAAACTTAAAGCGTTCAGCAAAAAGTAGACATCCCCCATCATCCACTCACTGAAACTCCCCAGGTGAGTAAAACAGGTGATCTTACAAATCACTGCTGACACCACGTGATCAAAACTATGCCTATCCACCACAATCTTAATAATCTTTTAAGTCCCTGTCCTTGGAAAGAGACTCATCATGTTTCATTTTATCACTTGCTGTATGCCAAATGGTCAGCTATTAGCTGTTAATTTAAGTATTGTTGAAAAGGCTCTTATTTGTCTTTCAAAAAGAGGAGTAAAGGTTTAGAAAATATACAAAAAAGTCAAAAAGTCCTACATAAAAAAAAAAATCCATGTTCACACCAATGTTGCTACAAGGGGGAAAAGCTCAGGGGTACACAGTAAATTCCACAGAGTTAAATATACGGTGAAGAAGTATGTTGACTCTTTTAGAGTTATAACAACAACAATTGAGTAAGATATACACTTTGTAGAAAGTTCATTTATCAATAATCCACTAGCACTGATGTTAAATTTAACTCTTAAAATGTTAATTAAACGCTGCAAAGTTTACTGTGTTGGAGCCAAAAACAAAATATCAGTGTTAAGTTATAGACAGGGGAAAAAAGGGGGGGAAAAAAGTCCCAAAAGAGTAAATAAAATATAGAAAAATAAACAAGAAAAAAATGATTTAATTTTATATTAAAAATACAAAAAATATTGAAAAAACTAAATAATTATGAGATAAATAATGTCAATTGTATGGATTAAGAAATATTACTGAGAAAGACACAAAAATAAATAAAAGGCATTTAAATGGCATTTAAAGCAACACACATACAAACCAACGGATATTTGAGAAGGAATGTGTTGACTGTAAAGGCTGCTGCAGTGCATAATTCATTGGTTTATATGTAAATATATTTTATTATTTATGCTTTCTAGGTCATGTCATCCATTTCTATGTGCAAATGTGCCTCAACCAGATTATTTTTCTCCCAATGTTCCTCACTGTCAGCCATACTTCCTCTAATGCTCCAAATAGGGTTTGGTTGAGCTGAGAGAAACAGAGAGAGAGAGTCGGAAAGAATGTGTGTCTGTGACAGAGGTGGAGACACATTGTTTGTATTGGTGAGCTGTCACAGCAGCTGTGAATAAAATTGTCTGGACGTGTTTTTATGCAACTTCCCATGAAAAAAAAAAAACTCAACAAAGCTGAAAAACATTTAAATATTTAAATCAGAAAACCGAAGACCTTAAACCTGCCGCTGCATTAAGAAGAGACCAGATATGCCAACTATTTAGAACTTCACATTTTCTATTGTAATATTAACTTACTGTCATTAAATATTGCAGCTGGAGGTAGCATGACTCCAACCTTGGGTAACCTTAATTTTTTTCCCCTGTCTTTCCAAAACTAAAAAGCATTTAAGCAAAAAAAAAAAAAAAAAGTTTATTTCAACCACTTGATTTATTTGTTTGAACTCTTTAACATTAGTGTGACTAGATGCAAATTACTTTAACTGTCTGCTTCTCTAGATTTATCTGCAGTTTAGCCTATTTTTTTTTAACCAAAAATAAACTTATGAGAATCACCCTCATAAGAATTTATGCTTGCTTTGCTGTACAAATAGTCCAGTGACTACAACCATATTAAGTTTTCCGTTAACTATATTACCAATGCACCTGTTCTTTCTTCAACCCTTTTTCTTCCACTAAACTTTCAATGAATTTGTTTGGTTAAAGCACTCTGAAAACTCAACTTCTTTAGCAATGAGCTTATGTCGCAAATCCTTCTTGTGTAGCACACCATTCCAGTTTCAGTCTGAGATGATCCAAATCTGAATCAGCATAATCCTGCTGCTTTTGAAAAGTGGAACACTATTGTGACTAAAGTTTTTCTGCAATACTTTTTGTCTGAATAGCTTCTTAGAGATGCTGGTCTGTGCAGCTTTTGCTTAAGGCTCTAGCTCTTAAATTTTCTTTTGAAATGCTGAGGGAAGAGAGTCTATACGTACCTCGAGACACAATGTAATGACTATAATGTTTTCTATAAAAAGGAGAGGCAATTTTCTTGGTGTAGGTACGTTTCTGAGTAAGAGTTTTTTAAGCTATATTGAGTGACTTCATAACTCTACTGACATAAGAGAACAAAGCTTGATGGAACAATAGCAAAACGGCATTGCGAATGGACAATGGGCAAATCAAAATGAAGATTTAATGCAATTTACTAGATGCATTTCAAACACAAAACTTTACTAATAGAATAGGGACGATGGAGTCAGTTTTTTGCCATTTTGCATTTATATTGGATTGAATTGGACTTCATGTAATTAGTTTGGACCTGCAACAGTTATTTTTTATTTAGGCCTGTATCTTCCTGCAATAACTTTTGCATCAGTTCAAACTGTAATGGATTAAACTGTAATTGCTTCTAGGGAGAACGCTCTATTTAAAACTTGAAAATCAGCTTATGAAGCCATGGTGTAACTGTTAGAGTGCGAATCTTTGTATTTGGTTAGGATTGTTATATAATTTATAAATATTCTATTTGATGTTAGTAAGTTAATTTACTGTTTTTGAGTTGAATGTGACTAAAGGTGACATGACTACTCCAGTTAGTGGATTTGAACTGAATTATGGGTAACATTGCAGCAACGTTACTGATCTACTCAAGAGGAAAATACTATTCTGTTCTGGTCTGAAAGGCACATACTGTAAATTGTTTTTATTTTTATTTTATATTGATAATTTAGCATGTAGGATCCACCTCCTGTTTAATCCAGTTTGACCAATTTTCTTTGAAATCTGTGTAATTAGAGGAATTTATTTTTGTGAAAGTGCGATTGAAATGTTGAAATATTCTTTATTTTTGTACTTGTAATGGTGCTTTCGACAAGAGAGAGAGAATAAAATGTTAAAAGACGTCTGTATGATGCAGGGCCTTCCTAAAAATCAGACCTGAGTAGTTAAACATGGTTTATAAAATACATGCTGGAGGAACAGTTT